CACTGATCTGGAGTGTGGACTCAGGATCTAAATCACTATACACAAAAAAAAAAAAAACGTATATAAATAAATAAATAAATCAACCTTTAAACAAAAAATCAATAAACTTATATTTCTCAAATTCTATTTATTAGTCTTGTTGATCCTAAATACTCTAGAAGTAGACTCCAACCCTTATCATCTGCAGATTTTTTAAGAATATTACTAATATTTTGCTCTCCATTCTCTCTTAGTGCATTCTTTAAAATTTCTCTCTCTGAATCATACTTCTGGCAATGCAATAAAACATGGTCTACGGTTTCTTCCTCTCCACAATATTCACACTTTCCATTATTATGCTTTCCAATCATACAGAGAACTGTTTAGACCAGTGTGACCATTCCTTATTCTTGTTATAACCTTCCCCTCTTTCCTATTTCGTCCTCCAGTTCCTATCTTTCCAACTAATGGAATATTTTTAAACAGATATCTCCCTTTGGTTTCTTTGTTCCATTGATTTTGCCACATCTTTTTGATCTGTCCCTTTATCACCACCTTAGCTTCTGACTTGCTAATATTTATATTTATGTGCTTATTTCCACTCTTCAAAGCACATTTTGCTGCTTTATCTGCCTTTATGTGCTTCTTTCCACTCTTCAAAGCACATTTTGCTGCTTTATCTGCCTTTTCATTCCCATCAATTCCAACATGTGCAGGGACCCACACAAACCTAACAGACAAATGTATTTGATGAATTCTGAATAATGATTGCAGTATTTCATACAGTAAGTCCTCTCTACTCCTGGAGTTGCAACATTTTAAACTCATTAATGCTGCACATGAATCTGATGCAATTACCACTCTCTCTGGCCTGACCTCCTCTACCCATTGCAAAGCAATAATCATGGCCATCATTTCACATGCATATACAGATATATCATCGGTAATTCTCTTTCCACACTCAACATTAAACTCAGGGATTACTACTGCTGCTGCTGCTCTACCTGTTTTAGGATCTTTAGAACCATCGGTATAAATCTGTAAATAACCGTAATAATTTCCTCTGATGTATGAATTAAAGATCTTATAATTTCCCCCATATTCATCTCTCATCAGTTCAAGGAGGCTAAAATCTATCTCTGGCTGTGGTAAAAACCAAGGAGGTATAGTTGGCAGAACTACTGTTGGAGAGTAATTCCTCTCCATTATACCCATTTCACTTGCCCTTTTCCTAACAACCCAACCAAAGCTATTTATTTGCCTTTTTCCATGTTCCCAGCATGGTTCAATAGCACTTATTGCAGGATGGTTATTATGTCCTTGTAAATTCACCCAGTATGTTGTCATGATTTGCTGTCTTCTTAGCTCCAATGGCATTTCCCCCATTTCTACCTGTAACGCTGGCACAGATGTTGTTTTAAAAGCCCCACTACATATCCTTAATGCTTGTGCTTGTATTACATCCAGTCTTTTCAACAAGGTTTTAGATGCTGACCCATAAACCACACATCCATAATCCATAACTGATCGTATTAAACCTATATAT